GATGCATAAAATTACACAAAATTCAGGCAGGAAATTCTCATTCCTGATATAAAATCAGTGTCCCCTGCCCCTAAGTTTATTACTCTCCCTAGTCTCCTTGAGCATTTCATCCACTATTATGGTGTCATTCTCAAATCCAAAACCTGGACCTCATTTGCTTTGCCAGCTGCAGACTTGGAGTTCCTGACTTCATAAACATTTCACACAGATGTCTTGCTTGCACTTGTAACCCAACGTATCAGAACAATATTCACTGACTTCTAAAGGTGTTTCCCCCTTTTCAGCTGTGTAGAATCATCTAATCATACTCTTTCTGGTTCCCCAGATCTAGAAACTCACTGATACTGGATATATTGATGTGGAATCCAAGGATCTTTTTCTATTCATTCTTTCCTTTGTATTCCCAGTAATTTTCTATTCTATTTTTGTCATTACTTTTTTTTTTTTGGTACCAGGGATTAAACTTGGGACCTTTGTGCTTTCAAGGCGGGCAGCGGAACTACTGAGTTAAATCCCTGGCCTTTTCTCATTACTTCTAAAGAGTTGATACCTGACTTTAACCTCTTCTCTTTCCCAACCCATTCTTTATACTTGCAGTCAGGATTATTTTCTAAACTATAGATTGGTTTATGTCATTTCTACCTAGAAACCTGCAGCAGCACAGAGGACTGTTCAGTAGAAGTATACTACAAGCTGTATATGAATCTTTTTTTTTAATTTTTTTATTTTTTTTGAGTCAGAGTCTCACTATGTAACCCTGACTGGCCTTGACCTCAGGCTAATCTTAAATATACTTACTAGTAACTACATTTAAAATGTAAAATGAAACCAGTGCAGTTCATTTTCATTAATATATTTATCCCAGTGGATCTAAAACACTTCACTGGGGCTGAGGATTTAGCTTAGTGGCACTGTGCCTGCTTGGCAAGCACCAAGTCCTGAGTTCGATTCCCAGTATTGGTAATAAATAAAACAAAACATTTCACAAAGTAGCATATAAAATTACCAGTATAGGACTGGTGTGGTGGTGCATGCCTGTAGTCCCAGCACTCTGAAAGGCTGAGACAGAAGGATTGTGAGTGCAAGCCCTGCCTGGGCACCTTAGCAAGATCTCGACTCAAAGTAAGATACATGATTTTTGTAAGACATAGGATTTTTGCTTTTGGTACTGTTTTTGAACTCCAGAGTGTATTTTAGACTTAACAGTGAGCATGTCTCAGTCCACATGAGCCGCATTACACTGAGTAGCCTCGTGTAATCAGTGGCTCCCTACAGACAGCACAGGTCTGCAGCTGAGCCTGCTCCAGCTTCAGCCCCTGCCTTGCATTTTTTCAGTGCTTCCTGGCTCAAACACACCACAGCCACACCTAGTAATCTGCCATTCTTTCCCTCATTACCCTTCCTGCCTGTGCAAATCTGACTGATCCTTCAGTCAGATGTTCGCTGCTTCTCAGAGAAGTGTCTCTATAAGCTTCAGCATTTGTCCTGACCCTCCCGTGGTGGCACTTATGGGAGCTGTTGGCCTGAGTCCTGTGTGAGCAGTCAGGCAGCAGCTAGGTCTCTCTCAGCCCCCTCTCCACAGCAAACACAGTATGGTGGCACATGTGTGGTCTCCCTTTGCTCTGGGGAGCAGCCCTATCACTCGGTATCTAGTATGGCTGTGCTGACATTTTTGAAATCTTAAGCAGTTTGTTTAAAAATTATTCTACCTTTGAAATATATTCTGAATGAAATTTCCTGTAGATAGTTCTCATTTAAAGGTGTTCTTGTTCTTTGTGGCCTAAAGCTTTTGCTTATGCAAGAGAGGACATACTAATTTCTATGTAGAAATAACAATATAGCTAAAACTTGGTTTCAAATATCCATGTGGTACAGTGTATAGGTTATTCTGGTTTTAGCTTGATTCTGATCTGGAATATGACTTGCCATTATGTAACTTGTTCTTTGTAAGTGTGTGTGTGTGTGTGTGTGTGTGTGTGCATGCGCGCGCGTGTGGGTGCTACTGCTTTTCCTCCACAGCTTTATTTAAAAGTGTATATGTCTTTTGAATTTCATTTTTTCCTTAAGAGATTTTGTCCGTGGAGTTTACCTGTGTAAAAAGCAAAGCAGATGTCTGGAAGGTTGTGCTCTATTCTGGTAGAAATCTTACTAATGTTGAAGGGTTGTAGCAGGTCCGATTCAACCTGCTGACAGATTATTTAGTGAGGGCCAGGAATGACTGTAAATGTTAGCTCAGATTTTAACGGTTTTCTTGTGAAGGACATTTATAGGTGAAACTGAGTAGTGTTTAATTGTGTCCATTAGGCAAGAGACTAGTTAAGAAGAAATTCTTCCCTTAAGCAGGCAGTTGTTTAAAAAGAATGAATGATTCATCAAATGGTGTTGCAAGGACTATAATTGTATTTTTAACATAAGTTGTTGCATTTAAAATTGTGAAATCTTAACCCCAGTTAAATAAGAATTCCTGAAAAGACTTCCTCCTAAGCTATCCTAAAAAACACTCTTAATGATTTGCCAGATTTATTCACAACTGCTTAAAAAAGAGAGTAAACTGTGACACTTCTAGCAAAATGGATCTGTAGTCATCTCTGGGGCTTCTCTTACCCTTACCTCCAACCCTCAGTCCACTGGGAAGGCTTTCTGCTTCCCAAACATCGGAAGGCCTCTCAACAGGGCAGCGACTCAGACTGAAACTGATTGCTTACTCATCCTCCTGCTTCTGCTTTTACTCTCCATACAGTGTGCAGAAAAATCTTTTTAAATTTTGTTATCATTATCATATTATTATTATTATGGTTTTTTATTTTGGAAAGATTCAAAATAGAGAGATGCATGTACCTCTCATTCAACTTCAACAATGATCCATCCATTCATGGCCAGGCTTGTCTCATCTACTCCCCCATCATCCACCCCCTTCTTCCCAGTTATGTTGAAATGAATTCCAGGCTTCGTATCATTTAATCAGCTGGTTTGGAATTTCTCCAGAGTGAAATTTTGCTTCTTGGTTAGTCACGTAAGGTGAAGAAAGTTGCTGCATTAGTGGTAATAAGTTCTTTGCCACTCTTTTATGTATTCCAGTTTGTGTTACCTTACTGTTTATGAGTTTCGTTTTTGTTTGGTAACTGCCATCACAGGAAAAAATTATTTAATGTACCTGTTTGTGTTAAATTAGTTTTGTACCAAACTCAATTTTAAAAGATGTGTGTGAAAGTTTGATGTACAAAAAATGTAAATGTTTATATGAGGATAGTAATTCGTGTTCACAAGTTGTAAAACATTAAATTCTTGTTGGAGATGTAGTTTAGTGGTAGAGCACTGCTTGCCTACTGTGCACGAGGCCCTGGGTTTGATCCCAGCATTTCAAAATAATTTTTCTCTTGATTCTTAAAAATAAAATCATGGTACATGCTAATGGTAAAAATAAAATGCAAGTAATATGGACGGACATGAAAGCAGACATTCTCTTTTGGTATATTGATTGCTTTCAGTCTGTCATATCCAAAATAACTTTTTTTGGGGGGGTACTGGGGATTGAACTTGGGCCCTTGTGCTTGCGAGGCAGACAGCGGAACCACTGGGCTAAATCCCCAGCCCTCCAAAATAACTTTTAAAAACTTCTTCTTTTCTTGCACTACTGGGAATTGTGTTACTATTTCTTGGAGATCCTTCCAGGAAGATCATTTAAAACCTTAATAATGTGTATATTTGACATTTTTTCTCAGTTTTTCTGAATTCAGTTAGGCAGAAATTGATTTTCATGTTGAAAAGAATATCACTCAGGAGGCTGAAATAGGCAGATCTTGTTTGAGGCCAGCCTGGAGTACATAGCAAGACTCCACACAAAAAAAAAGACAAAGAGAAAAGAATACAGCATCTATCTTGGTGTTTCATAAGGGGTTGAAAAAGAGATTATATGATCATGAATTCAATGTTTTATTGACTTTGTTGAACACCAGTTTCTTCTTGATAAAGATTACAAATTCATCAAAAGCTCTTGGACCTGTGAAAATCTCTGTACTAGCTGTCCAGTAGAAATACAATGTGAGCCACATACATAATTTCAGATGTTATAGTATTCACATTAAAAATAAAGGTGAAATTAATTTCAGTAGTGTATCTATTTAGTGCATAAATACAACATATTTTGCTGTTATCAGTATAAAATTTTATACTTTTTCATACTTTGAAAATCCAGCATGTGTTTTATACTTACAGCACATCTCAGTGTAGATCGGCCCCATTCATGTGTGGTAATGGCTGTTGCATTGGGCAGCATATCCTGTAAAGGATAGTGGCCATTACTGAGGAAGGAGGAAAGGGGCTTGGTATATATTTTTCATTTTGTTTATTTCATTTATTGACACATATCTGGCATTTAATATTTTCAATATTTCCTGCTTTTGGTGTTTTTTTTTTAACCTGTTTGATGGGTTTTTTTTGTTTCGTTTTGTTTTGTTTTTTGGTACTGCAGATTGAACTCTAGATCTTGAGCTTGCAAGGCAGGGAGTGGCACCACTGAGCTAAATTCCCAACCCCTAGTGTTCTTTTTTTAACATGTTCTTGCTGGGAATGGAACCCAGGGCTTGGAGATGCTAAATATTCACTATCCTGGAGCTATACGTCAGCTCTGCTTTTCTATATTCTTAATGATTGCCAGCTCAGACTCACTAGCCTGATTACTTTTTAAAAAAGTCATTCTTTAAAAATCAACGGTATCCATAACTCAGATACTTCTATATGAAGGCAGTGATCATGCTGAAATCAAACTCTTGGCTGGGAAGTAATACCACCCTGTAGTAGCTCAAAAAGTTTATTCATCAATACACGAAAGGCCAACTTCTGTAGAATGTGACTTAGGAGTATTAGAGTGTAATATGTTAAACATTAGCACTTTTTATTCTGAATTGGTGTAAATATATGCACTAGCACTTTTAGGAAGAAATGGAATAAGAATTCTTGAGAAAATTGGTGACAGTGTTCTTTAATATATTTTTTTTTAGGGGTGGCAGATGGTGTAGGAGGATGGAGAGACTATGGAGTTGACCCATCTCAGTTCTCAGGGACTTTAATGCGAACGTGTGAACGTTTAGTAAAAGAAGGACGGTTTGTACCAAGTAATCCCATTGGAATTCTTACCACAAGCTACTGTGAGTTGCTACAAAATAAAGTACCTTTGCTTGGTAAGTAAATGGCTACGTATTTCCTCTAAAGAAGCCCCTGTAGGGTTAAAACCCAAGAAAATGATTTGCCAGTCCAGCTCTTTTCTGAGGCCCTTCCTAGTGAGCAGAGTTTGGAGAAGCTGCAGGCTAACCAGAGTACAGGATACTGCCTGGAGGGAATGTAAATAGGCACAGCCCCTTTGGAAAACAATTAGGCATTGCTAAATAAAGTTACACATGAACACATAGCATGCCCCTCAGTTCTCCTTCTAGATGTTTCCAGTACACTAGAGAAAATTGCACAGTCGTGTACCTAGAGCTAGTTAGGTGCAAGAATGTCCTAGCAACATTGTCAATAATAGAAAAGTGGAAACAACCTAAGTTCATCAGAATAAAAAAAGTGTATTGTGAAAAGAAACAAAGCTGCTTGCAATACTCAGGAACATCTTGTGAAGGGGAAAAGAGGACACTGCAGAGTACTATCATGTATTTCAATCTCAGAAACATAAAAAGTTAAAAATGTTGTCTAGGAGTTCTAAAACCTGATAAAGGAAGAAAGGAAAGCAAGAGCTTGTAGTATTCAGAACCTGATTCTCTCCCAGGGAGGGAGAACAAGGCTAGGGTCTGGCCTACAGAGAGGTCAAGGTGCTGACCACCACCCCAGGCCACCCACAGCTGATGAGTTCATGAAATAGCTTGACACAAATTAGATCCCTGTCACTCTTATATTGGAAAACTCCAAACTGACTGCCTCAAGGTTTGTTTATTTGATATGCTAATGGAGCATCCTTTGGCCGGGCTCAGTATTTGTTTGTTAAATGATTTTCTTACCCAGCCTCCTCAGCCACCTCTCAGAAAGGGTGTTACTAAGTTTGTGTTAATTGCCAGCATCTTTTTGGTTACTAGAAGGCCTCCCTCATATTCACCATCCACTTTTTGGGGGGTGGGGTGGGGGGTAACCAGGTATCAAACTCAGGACCTCAAACTTACCAGGCAGGCACAGTGCTGCTGAGCTACATCCCCGGCCCTCACTGTCCACATTTATAGTCCGTCTCCTTTCAGTCTTACTGCACGATGTATGTTTGCCTTCAACTTAAATCCTTTTTATTGTAAGGGATTCTTTTTAGCGCTCTGCCATCTTAGTCTCCTCTGTGCTATGATTAACCAGATTGTTTTCCTTCTAACTGAACAGAAATCTTGTCTTGCAATTTCTGTATGCACTGCTTTTCTTAATGTCCCTCAATGGATATGAAATCGGGAGATTACTTGGCATTCTAGATTCTATTTCTAGTACCTTTCTTATCAGTTTGCTGTATGGCTTTGGGCGAATTTCTTAACCTGTTAAATGGAGTGAGTCCTGGACAAGTTCCAGAGGCTGACTCCTGCCTGTGCCAGTAGACCCCTCGGCCACCAGTGTGTCTTCTCACCCCATCATTTCCTTTTGCTTTGGACAGCCAGTTTCAAAACATCTAGCTAGCCTGCCTTTTTGCACTTCAAGAGCTTTGGTATTTTGCTGTTTTTCTCCATTCTCTGCTTCCCATCCTGTTCATACTCATGTAACTTGGAAATGTTAATGAATTTAAGGACATTAAAGTTTGCTTACATTGAATATTGTGATTAGGTTTTTCTCCTAAGAGACACACTGATAGAATCCTCTGTTACCATCTTTAACACACACTAGCCCCTCCCCTAATCTACATGTCTAGATTGTTTGTAACTAAATGTGAGCAAATTTTGACAAAGGTTGCTGAGTTTTATTGAACCTCAGATATAATTATAAATAATAACTTTATAAGATTAATCTTGTGGTTTTGTTTTTGTTTTTTTGTTTGTTTTTGTTTTGTTTTGTTTTTTTGAGACAGGGTCTCACTATGTAGTTGAGACTGACCTGGAACTCACTGTGTAGCCCAGGGTGGTCTTGAACTCACAGCAATCCTCCTGCCTCAGCCTCCCGAGTGCTGGGATTACAGGTGTGCGCCACCAGGTCCAGCTCATTTTTTAAATTGCTAAAAAGCCTACAAAGATAATTAAATATAAAGCACAAGCCAGTAGTTGTGTTGCTTATTTCTTTAAATGTCTAGCTGCTTTTGGGTCTGGGTTGGCATCACAGGCTAATTGTTGGTATGTGTCCCTAGAAACCCTAAGTATATTCATAAGGTCTTAAGAAATCAAGATGTTAAAAAAAAATCAAGATGTCTTTAAAATTTGAGGGTTTTTCCTAATAAGGTTATCCCTTTCTCTGCTGCACAAAAGGCATAGTAGAGGCTTATAAAATAAGGGGCTGAGTGATAAAAATATTTCCATTTTAGCAGGAGAGGTTTACCTGGGCCAGTCATCTAAACATCTGACACACTCTGGACCTCCTTTCTTGCTCTTCTTCACCTGCTTCTCTGCCAACATAAGAATGATGAGCTCTTTGAGTATTCGGCACTCAGGGCCTGAGTCAGGTGTACACCTCAGTAATTTGAGGTAGCCAAAAGAGCATACACCATGATTCTGCAAGGCTGGGCATGCGTTCATCACTGATGCTTTGGATTCTAAAGCCTCCTGAAGACCATTTTGATTCTAACTCAGTGTGTTACTGTCACAGGGGCAGAAAAATGATAGCCTAGGCTTGTCAGTGAGTCATGATGAGTCAACATGAGTCTTTCGTACAGCAGAATTTTAAGGCTGTGCTTCTCATCTGTCATTTTTTTATTCTCAGTAGGCTCTAATTCTATCAGTTTTCAGAAGGTCTTTTATGTAATTATATTAATGATAAATGGTTGGAGTTTTTGTGCATCCAGCGAGGAAGGAAAGCTAATTGGTGCCCTCTTCCTACTGTGAGCTATGGAGCAGGTTCTGTCAACATAACTAGTTAGTTATAGCACCCGTGATTTTTTTTTTCCTTTGGTATGTAGGGAATAGGAAACCAGTGGTACAGCTTTAGTGTTAGATTAGCACCACCAATGCATATACTGCAACTAATAAGGAAATGGAATTTCTGAACATTAAGGATGAGAAAGAGGTGCATATTTTAGGTTGTTTTTTTTTTTTTTTTTTTGAGAAAGCTATTAGTACTGTGGTGATTATGCGATTATGCTCCCAGATTTATTCTTTCATATATTCATGTGGTGAGTAATGGTAAGTAGAATTGAGTCTCCTGTGTGCTCACAGCACCCCCCCCCACACACACACAAGGTAGGTGCATAGCACATGGGTGCTTTTATTCCCCATTTTGTTAGACAGAAACAGGCCTAAAGGGAATCAGTTCCTTGCTCAGGTCACACAGCTAGAAAACGATAGTTCACTGGGATTTACGTGGCTGGTTCCATTGTCTATTTGCTTTGTTTTTAACTGTCATTTTAGCAGTTTAGACTTTGCATATTACAATGCTTTTCTCTTTTTATTAACAGTAAACTTCATTTTTTTAATACAGTTCAAATTTTAATGGCACAGTTTTTTTGTTTTGTTTTGGTTTTGGTTTTTTTGGGTTTTTATTGTTTTTTTTAAACAGGGTCTCACTGTATAGTTGAGACTGACCTGGAACTCACTATGTAGGCCAGGTAGTCTCGAACTCACAGCGATCCTCCTGCCTCAGCCTCCTGAATGCTGGGATTACAGGAGTGCGCCACCACGCTCAGCATGGCACAGTTTTTTTAAAGGAAACTTTAATGCTAATTGGTTGTATATTTCCTTAACATAATTTGAATGGCTATTAAATAGCTAATACAGGGCCGGGGATTTACCTCAGTGTTTCAGCTGCCTGCGCTACCTGCCTTGCAAGCACAAGGACCTGAGTTCAATCCCCGGTGCCAAAAAAATAAATTAATTAATCAGTTAATTAATAGCTAGCTAATACTATGTGTTGTGTTTGACATGACTTAACTAATTTTAACCCTTTGAGACAACTGAATGTTACTATTAGTACAGATTCTACAATGAGGAAACTGGGGCACAGAGAAGTTAAAATATTTGCTCCAGGTCACATAACTGGTAAGTGACAAAGTGAGGATTCAAACACAGGCAGGCGACTCCAGAGTCTGTACTTCTCTGTTACATGAGTTATTTGAATGTACCATAATATATTTTACTAGTCCCTTAGTTTTAATGTTTAGATTGTTTAGAGTTCCTTATCTCAATGTTTATGTACTTAAATCTTACTTACATTTGTAATTATTTTCTTAGGGTAAATTCTCACAAGTGGAATTGCTAGGTCAAAGGACAAGTACATTTTTCAGGACTATATTTCCCTTAGAAAAATTCTACTCTTAGAAAAATTTTACTCTTTACCACAGGATAAGTATGAGCACATTCCCTACGCTTTGCCAGGTCCACGCATTTATGTTTTGACTCAATTTAACTATTGGTTACTGATTATGATGATCTTTGTAATATATTACCAGCCACTTACATTTATATCTTGGCAAACTGTATGTTTTTCTACATTGCTATATTTCTGGTACAGGTAGGTATAGGTGTCAGTCTTAGATGGAACTGACCCCTTCTCATTCCATAGCGTGGCTCTCAGGAGGCTGCACACAGAAGAGGGGCACAGGGCTCTGACAGTGGCTCATATGAGAGCTCTTCCCTCTGAACACTGGTATTTGTAGAGCAAACAGGTTGATTCCACGAGCTACCTGCGACATTTGGCCTTGTTACTTCATAGTGAGTCATTGGTCTCCAATAAAAGTTCATTAGTTCAACAGCTGGAAATGTGGTTTTAAATTGTAGTTATGTGCCTTGTCTTAAATGTTAGTGAATTTTGTGGTGAAAGCTTCCTGCCAGTGACTAATGAGAACTGTCATGAAAATGTAACATTCTCATTCTAGTATTTAAGTATCAAAACTCAGCAGCACCATGCTTTAGAGCATTTGACATAGATTATAGCACAAGTGAAAGGATGTCATGTGATGAAGTGCCAGTCGTTTTTACTTTTCCTATCTCTACAAAAGCATTCAGACCTCAGTGGCTCATTTACTGTATATAATATAAATCCCTCTTTCTGCACCATGTTGACCCTAATCGGGTTGTTTTCAGCATTCTCAGGGATAATGGATTATAACTAAGAAAGTCTTGTTGAGTCAAATGATTCACATGGTGTGATGCTGCTTTTTGGAGTTATGTGATAGAAATGTGTGTGCAGAGGCAGCCAAAGAAAAGAAAATCAAATGAATGTCCATTTTGTTTCTAGGTAGCAGCACTGCCTGCATTGTGGTGCTGGACAGAACTAGCCACCGCTTACACACGGCGAACCTGGGTGATTCCGGCTTTCTAGTTGTCAGGGGTGGCGAGGTCGTGCATCGATCAGATGAGCAGCAGCATTACTTCAACACTCCATTCCAGCTCTCAATCGCTCCCCCGGAAGCTGAGGGAGTCGTATTGAGTGACAGGTAATCTCCCCTCAGCCATGTTGAGCAAGATGTGAGTCACCCACAGGTCCCTTCCCACCTCCTTGAATGCATAGGGATAGGCGTTTTCTGTTTTTCTGTGAAAAGAAAAGGCATTATAAGAATGTTCTCCTCAAGAGGACCTTGTTTGTAGTCAGGCTTCAGAAGCTATTTTGCTCGACCTAGATGCTATAGCCAAGTTGAATTCTGATAAACACCTAATAACTTGACTGCCCTGAAAATACTGTTTCAGGTGTGTTCATTGTTCGTACCTACACCACGTAGTATGTGCAGTATTGCAGTGTGCCTGTTAACCTGCAATGGAGAAAGAGGTCATTTGTCATTGCCTCTGCAAGGTTTTGCCACACAGTTGGGGAAGCCGGCCAGTAGACATCTGTTTCATCTGTCAGAATATCTTGGTGATTCTCCAATCCTGTTTTGTTTGTTTATTTGTTTTTGTGATACTGGGGATTGAACCCAAGGCCTTTGGACTGAACTGCATCCCCAGCCCTTTTAATTTTTTTAGACAGATTTTGCTAAGTTGCCCAGGCTGGACTTGATTTGCAGTCCCTCTGCTTCAGCCTCCCAGAGTGCAGGGATTACAGCTGTGCACCATCATAATGGCTTGGGTCCTCTTACATACATCCCATAGAACAGCAGGAAAGTCAGAAGTGGTCTTGTCCTGCACATGGTCTGTGACAATGTCATTGAAATGGTCTCAATGTTTTTGTCATCTTAGTTCATTCTTTTTTTTTTTTTGTGGTACCGAGGATCGAACTCAGGTCTTTGTGCTTGCCAGGCAGGCAGCAGAACCACTGAGCTAAATCCCAGTTCATTCCTAAATTGTTAAGAATCTTCCAAGATAGTTGGAACTTTTGGAATTAACCCCATGGCTTATCTTTTCTTAGATCACAGTAACACTAAGATAGTCTCAGGTTTCACTGGCACAAACACTTGTAATTCATAAATAAGTAATGAACTTTTTGTAAAGGTATTCTAACAAGTGCTTTTTTGTTTGTTTTGTTTTTCTTTCCTACTTAATAGCTCTTATTCAAGCAGGTCTGAAGTCCAAACCAAAATAAAATGACATTTTTTCTATCTTTGAATCTACACATTTGTTCATTTAAACAGTCTGTTGCTGACTCCAAAGGAAACACTTTTTACTTTTCACATTTAGACAGATTACCATAAATTGGAAGAATATTTTATTCTTTAATTGGTTTTAATACACATTATTATTAGCCATATCGGAATGGGCAGACCTCAGAAGCTCAAGGCCTTGCTAGATGCTGTGCTCAGCTGACAGTTTTAGAGGAGGTACTTTAATTTTCCTTCATTTGATGCTGCTAGTTTCGGCTCCTCAGTGCTGGACCAGCCCTGGCCTATTGCACATGCTATCTTGGGGACAGCTGCAGTCTCCTAGCCTGCCAGCCAGCATGCAAGGTGGAGGTGGCTTCCCCTGGAGCCCAGAGACAGCTTGCTAGCATGTGATCACAGCTCGTGTTTCAGTGCAGTCAAAAGTTTCCAGCAGCACAGTATGTTCGATCAGAATGCTCAGAACTGCAGCTGGCAGAACACCAAGCTCATAGGTGGGAGTATTAGCAGAGGAGGGCTGTCCAATGGGAGCAAGTCTCTCACGGGCAGAGGGGCAGAGTAGCAAAGGCCATTCCTGGGGAAAGAAAAACCTCAGCATAAAATAGAGCATCAGTGCCAGCCTGGCCATTAATCTATACTCTTAGAACCTGACTCGTCTCGAAGACTGAGCAGATGAGGGTGTCTTGTGTTGCTTCTCTTCTTCCACAGAAGGAATTGGCCTGCTTTCTGCCAGTTACATTGTTACATATATTTTTTTCCCTTTTAAATACCAGGGATCAACCCCAGGGTGTTCTACCACTGCACTATATCCCCCATCCTTTTGAGTGTTTATTGAGATAGGGTTTTGCTAAATGGCCCAGACTGACCCTAAATTTGTCATTCTCCTGCCTCAACTTCCCCAGTAGCTGGGATTACAGGCAAGTGCCACAATGGCCAGATAATTTTTGTTTTCTATTGCTTCATGTGTCTCCTTGGCTATTGGCACTCTTATCTATAAAACAGTATTTTAATCTTAACTTAGATGTCTTCCTTTAGTATCTGTTTTTACAAAACATTCATTGTATAATGTAGAAGTAAAAGTGTCCCTGCAAACTCCCATCTCAGAGCTTTAGCTGTACTACTCTTAATTGTGTGTCAAGCGAAGATGAATCAGATTTTCTCAATACACTTTGTGTAAATCCATCCACCTGAGTGAGTTTGTTTGTTTTTATGACTTCACATATTTTATAACATGTTACCGACACCAGTGTTGGGGATTTTCTGTCAAGCTTGGCATGATTTGTTTCTGGCCTCTTCCTTCTAGGTCAGTGGATTTTTTGCCTGGCTCTCACTCCCTAATTATAGGTTAAAGCAGATTAGACATCTCATCTTTCCTTCCTCTTGGAGGCCCGGAAGCAGTAAAGGTGGTCTTTAGAAATGGCCAAGAGTCAGCCTCATAAAGGACCATGAACTCCTCATATATCACCTTTTCTTCCATCTGGAATTTCTCCAAAGTCTTCCTTTGTTTTAGACCTCTCTTCCCCTCCTCTCTTTTCTCTTCTCTTCAATGTCTCTTCTGTTTTTTTTATTTAAATTTGTTTGTTTATTTGTTTTGTTTTTTGAGTCAGGGTGTTGCTCTGTAGTCCAGGCTGACCTTAAACTCCCTATGTAGCCCAGGCTGGCCTTGAACTTGTGGTAGTCCTCTTGCTTCAGCCTCCTGAGTGTTGGGGATTAAGCTCAGTGGTGCCTCACCTACCTGGCAAGCGCAAGGTCCTAAATTCGATCCCCAGTACACTCCCCCCAAAAAAAACAATAATAATGGAAAAAATGTGAGAAATCTTTCTGCTGTCTCTGACATCAGCCACACTTTCTCTAGAAGGAGCCACTGCTTAGTATTTCTTTGAATCTCTCCAGATTGATCCTCTGCATTTAGAAGTCTACATTTATGTGTTTCTTCCCCTCTTTTTTTGTTTATCCAGAAACAGTTGGATATGCTGAACACTTTGTACCTTCCTCCCTTAACATATTAAAGAGCTTTACCTAATTTGGAGAATAGGATACTTTGATTCATTCAGTCATCCAGCAGATATTTCCTGAAGCTCTACACATCAGGGACACATATAAATACTAATGTACAAGCACATTGTGACCCGAAGGGGATGAACAGCCCTTACAGTGCCAGAACCACTGCTGGTGTCCATGAGAACTCACTCCTGTAGAACTAGGGTGCTGTTCTCTTGGTGCCCAGCTTTCTGCCTTGTTGTGATGCACCCTCCTGAGAGCCAGGGTCCAGCATGCCAGGGGGCTAATGAGTGCAAAAGAGTAAGAGAAGACAGAATTTGGCACTAAAGAGTTAGGAAATGGAGAGTCATTTCCACTAGGGTTTTAAAGGCGCATTAGGTCTGACTCAGAAGAGAGCCTTCCTCCTTTTAAGCCACATGTGACTAACCAGCAGACTTAATTTTACTTAGTGGTTTTAGTTAATCTTTATATCAGAGTCTTCAATTAATTTTTCTCAAGATGAAAGATTTCAGACTGAATTTTTTAAAAAGTTGATTCCATTTTAAAAACTCATTGCCTTGTAAAATGTTGCCGGAGGACCCTTTGAACTATGTCTTTGAAAGGCTTGCTTACCTTTGCCCTCCCTGTCCTTGTCACAGCCCGGATGCTGCTGATAGCACCTCTTTCGATGTCCAGTTAGGAGACATTATCCTGACGGCGACAGATGGACTCTTTGACAACATGCCTGATTATATGATCCTTCAGGAGCTAAAAAAGTTAAAGGTAATTAACTCAAAGGCTAGTTGTTGGAAATGGTGGCCTGCACAGGACAGCTACTTTTATAGAGTCACTTGCACTATCTCTTGGTAGTTTTGGAAAGAACTACTTTATGAACTTTAGGAAATGGTAGTTCTAATATTCTAAATAATTACAAGTGGAAACATTCCCAAGAACTTGAAGGGTATAGCAGGTTTTAGTAGGTCATTGAAAACCAGAAAAATGCAGATAAGGACATTTCATGTTTTTATTTTTATTTTAATGGTGTTGGCAACTGGTTGTCTTTTTCTTGTTTTATTCTTATAACACACCCAGCAGGTGTTGAGGTGGAGAAGAACAGAAAACAGTAATTCCAGGGCCAGCCAAGGGCAGCAGGCAGCTTGGAGCCTTGATGCGACCTGAGCTGTCCGCAGTAGTGAAATAGTGCAGGCTTTTCCCATTCTCCCGGCTTTGTGAAAAAAACTGGCTCTGAGCAAAATCAGTTTTTTCCCCATCTTTTTGCCCAACCACGGATGTTGGGTAAGTTTCTTCAACTGGTCAAGCAATAGTTTCCTCCCATATAAAATGGCAAATAATAAAGGATTCACCTCACAGGGTTGAAGAAAGGAGCAGCCGAGACCATGGGAAGGAAACTTTTAGTACCTTGCCTTGTGCTGTTCAGTAAGGGTTTGGTGCTTCTGTGCTGTGAAGCCTGAGATAACAATGGTGAGCAGAAACCATGCCATCCCTGCCCTCGGGGTGTGCACATTCTAGTGGAGGGAAGCAGATAACACAGAGACGAGAATGCATGACAATGTTGATGGCAGAGAGGAAGAATAAGGAGAGTAAGGGAGTAGAGACTGCTGCCGGCACTGCTGCTTTTGATACTTACCTCAGGGAAGGCCTCTTAGATGAGGTGACACTGAAGCAGAGACACTTTAGATGAAAATGATTGGAACCTTGGGCCGGGGGTTTAGCTCGGTGGTGCTACCACCTGCCTTGCAAATGCAAGGTCCTGAGTTTGATCCCCAGTACCCAAAATAAATAAATCAATAAATTGGAACCCCGAATGTCGGAACAAAAATGGACCTCATTGTCCCTACCCCTGTCTTGCAGATGAGGAAGTTGAGCAGCAAGAACAAGGATATGGCTCAGAGTTACACAACTAGACAGGAGTCATGTTATAAAACCCTAAGGTATTTTCAGGAGGAAGAACGGTTACTTGGGAAGCAAACAGTGGTTTGTCAGGATGCATTCCCCAGAAAATTTGAAGTCATCCTGAAAATTCTATTAGAGGCCAGCTTTTCAGTCCGTCCCATTTTAACAAGAATACCTTCAGGATTTCAAATGGGAAAAAAAATAAAAATCCGGACTTCGGGGCCCAAGGGCACTGAGCTTTCTGACCAGGGTGTACAGGCAGCACTAGTGTGGCTCATTAGTCACAGCCTGAGGGTTAAGTGCCCCACTAACTGGAAAAGAACTTCAGGGTGGAAAATGTGTTAGATAAATGCTACCATCTGAAAGAGTAGACTCTGCAAGTACACTTCCATGCAGAAATCCTTCAAGGCATTATGGTAAAAATAACTCCTCACTCTCTCCTCTTAGAATTCAAATTATGAGAGTATACAACAGACTGCAAGAAGCATTGCTGAGCAAGCTCATGAGCTGGCATATGACCCGAATTATATGTCACCTTTTGCACAGTTTGCATGTGACAACGGCTTGAATGTGAGAGGTAAGCATTCTTTGGGAAGGTCACAGGAACTAAGTGGGGACATAGCAGAGTGGGAGCATTCTGGGCTCCCGGTGAGACTGCAGGTGTCCTTTCCCAGCTAGGAGCTGCACCTGTGAGCAAGGTCAGGAGGGCAGGCTGGTGCTGGCTGTGTCTTCCCTTCCAAGGACCCTTCAGACCTCAACTCCATGTGCTGCAGAGGAGGCAGAACCTGAAGGCTTTCTTGCTGTCACTGCACTGGTTGGACCTGAGCCCTAGAGGCCCCTGAGCACTGCCAGGAGGCCCGCACATTCCTAACAGTTTAACTCTCTCCCCTTCACGTGTCTGACATTTTGCTTCTCCCCCTGACTCTGTGGGACTCGACAGTATTTGCCTGCCAAATTGCCACAGCAGATTTTGAAAAGGAAAGCAGTGTGAAACTGCCCTTGACTGAAGAGTCCTTCTGTCTACCGCGTGGTGTGAGTTTGGGAGCTGGCCAGTCTCAATGACATGTTGGTGCTAGCATTTTAGAACTAGTGGGCTTGGTCAGGTTCTTGCTGACGTAATATTATGATATGTAGCGCATTTCTTAGCCCTCCAGGAAATGTTAAAATAGAAAAAAGCACATGCCATAGCTGTTTGGCAGATTAGAATACATGGCTATTCCTAGTTTCAAAACACTGGATATGTTTGTCCAAATTAGGATTGTGGTAGAGGCATGTAACTTTCTCATCAGGCTGAAGTTATCTTAACAGATTGCATCTCTCCTGTGATAGATGTAAACAGAGGATGTAGTAGCCATTTTCAGAGTTCTGTTGTAAGGAGCAGGGAAGATTTTTTTTTAAAGCTTCATTTAAATTACATGAAAATTCTTAGTGTTTAATATTTTAAAATATCAAATATGTTTGTTCTTTTTTTTCTGCTAGGGTATATTGACAAACCAAATCTGCCTGAAATGCAAGCATTTGTCTCTAATACTTAGACCCACTTTTTTTTTTTTTTTTTCCTGGTACTAGGGATTGAACTCAGGTCCTTGTACTTGTGAAGCAGGCAGAGGAACCACTGAGCTAAATCCCCAGCACTAGACCCACTTTTTTTACTGACTTTTCCTTTTTGTTTATTTTTATTTTTTTCATTGTTTATTAGATTTTAGATATACAATACAGTTATATTCATCATTAGGATCTTGTACCTTTACATGATGTATCTTGGTTCTTATTTTTTCCCCATATTTCCCTGCCGAAGGATAATCTTTTATGTTTTTATTTTATTTTTCTCATTAAGTTTATTGGTTCTCTGAAGGATAATCTTTTAAACAAACAATGCATTGTTTGTTTGACTTTTCCTTTTAAGGTGTACTGATTGGTCTTCCCTTCTGTTGCAGGTGGAAAGCCCGATGACATCACCGTCCTTCTCTCAATAGTGGCGGAGTATACAGACTGACTCACCCAGCTGTCCACTCCTGCCTTCCCTCCTCATCCCACTTGTCCCTGCCATGTGTGCTGATCCTGCTGGCAGGAACGCGTTTCTTTGCCACTGATCTCAATGGCCAGTGATGTAAGCCTTTTGCCTGTCTTTTTGAGACCCGTTGAGATCTTTGTTGAGAACCACTACTATTCACTAGCTTGTATCTGCCAGCAACAACTGAAGAGGTACAAGATTTGAAGACTGGCCTTCATTTCTCATGGAGATTTTCAAAGCCTGTTACTTTTCAAAGGCTATTACTTTTCAAAAGCAGTTGAAATACTGAAAATGAGTAATGTTGGTAAAGTGAATTCAAAATTACAGCAAGTTAAAGGGATTTTAAAGTATAACACAAATCGTATGTAATGATACGTCTACTAAAAAACATACATCATTCATCAAAAGAAACGTTACACATATACTCCATAGGCGTTGTCTTTGTAATGATGATTGGGTGTGGCATTATGTTTTCATTATAAACTCCTATTTTCCAGGAGTTTATGATTCTGCTCTAAAACTGTTCTGGGTTATGAAACTTTGATCCCCAGAGCTTTTTAGTTACAAATTGGAAGAAAAGTTAATTTTAGTTTTATGGTTGCAAATGTTGTGTGCTTTTAAAAAGATGCTTGTGTTCCTGTGATTACAGTTTTGGCAGTTTATGGATTAGTCCACAGCACAGGCTGGTGGCCTGATCTAGAGGAGAGGGTGAGGAAGGAGACACCTTACCAAAAATTTTTAATGGAAATACTATTCAAGGTTATAAATCTCCTCAAAGCCTAGAATTTACTGTTATGGCTGAAGATTTTCCCTGCTGTCGGAAAGGATACCCTGGATGGGATCTCTAGGCTCCAGGCCTGATGGGTTGAGAACAGACAGCTGTAGCTAGAAAGTTCACTGGCTTTGACAGTCTGCTGCCCATCACACCCTCCGACCTTCCCTTAGGGGCCCTGCTTTCCTAGAGCATGCACCGAATTCACTGCAGACACTTGGCACACGCACCGTACAAAGTACAGTGGCCACCATACAAAGCCCACGAGGAAAACTAGTGATGATCTGACATTGCTTACCCCAAGCAGAAATGTAGGGTTTTCTGAATCAAGCTTAATGTTTACAGTTTCCGAATAGCCATTTGCAGTGTATAGTTTCTTTATAAAACTACCCCACATTCAATTTCCCATTACCTACAAGCTCAAACTTATTTTTAAGGTTTGTGTACAAGTTGACTGCTGTAAAGATATATATTTTTGGGTCAGTTTTTTCCTTCATTAACTTGGTGGTAGAAAAAATATATATATAGATATACTTAGAAACCCTTAAATTAAAGCCATGTTTTCTATGAGTCAGGTAACATTGGTGTATAGATGAGAATGCAATTAAACCTGATGAGCATCTACTTGAGGACATAGAAAGTCTTTTCTCTAAAGGAGAGACTGACTCCCTGGTTTATTGCATTAAAACTTACGTTTGAGGTTACCTCAATTTGTTTTAAAAGATTTTGTTTTGTGAAACTGTACTGTATATTTGAGTAACTGTTGAGCTTTTGTTTTATTTAAAATTGTTTAACATGTACCATGTACATGTCATTACTATATTTCAATGCATCATGCTTGTAACAGGCATTTCATTTATAATAAGAATGAGTTATTCATTTGTAAGCCGTTCAGTAATTTATGTACTATTCCTAAATTGGCATAATGTTAGATACCTATTTTGAATCACCTTTAATTACACGTCAGAATGCCTTAACTACCCTAACTTGACAAAAGCGAATTTTTTGGTAGAGGAGAATGGGGGCAGGGTGGGGGGTGGAGGGAAACTCTGTTTCAGTAAGGAGAAATAATCATGCTCTGATCGAACAGGAAGCATGAGGGGCAAGTTGTGGGGTATTTATTTTGCACAAACTGTTTGCAGTCTCTGTGTATTTAAAAAGTAAAGTTGCATCCAGAAAGTGTTTGTTAAAAGGAATACATTTATATTGGGACTGATGACTTCAGCTCTAGATTTGTGATTATTTTTGGTCAGAGGTATTTAGCCTTACAATCTGGATATATTTGCGTTTATTTTCCAATGCCTACGTTTAATTCCTGGTAAGAGCAGTGCTGGCCAGGTTATTGGCTCTTCTGCTGTCATTTATTAGCCCATCAAACAATCTGTGACATGAAGCTAAATTGGTGGTGTTTTGCATACTCGTTTAATTAACTTACTTTTTTGAGAAATGATAGAAAACAATGTGGTTGTTTCAGTGACACTGAAAATAATGGACAAGAACTAAATTCCACAGTGGAATTGACTTTGGACTGGGCCTATAGGTTAGGGACATAAAGTTTTCTATTTTCTTCTTTTCCTGTTCTTTTTGTGTTATGCACTTAATTTTATAACTGCCAGGGGTAGGCAGAGTGCTGCTTAACAAGTAACTCTCCTCCTCCTCTCAGTGTCAGAGGCTGTGTTGGACCTAGCATAGAATTTTCCAAGCCACACACCCAAGCTTCTGTGGTGGGTCTGATTCTGAACCTGGGATGTGTGTGTGTGTCTGTGTGTGTGTGTATGTGTGTGTGCACGTGTGTGTTGTATTTTAAATCAAGCAGTGTAAACACACATTTGGCTCATGTAATGGAGTTTTATAACAAAGGAAAAAATTTGGATTTCTAATTTACAAATGGCAAATTATTTAACCTTCTCTGGATGCACCAAAGACCAGTAAAGTTTATAGCTTTTCCATCTATATTTATAAAGCAATACTGTATTATAAAAATCAATATTTTTATCACATGCTTGAAATTTTTATTTTGTTCTGTTTTAAAATGTGCACTCTAAACATATCAGAACCTTATTTCTTCCTATGAACTAAGCTGCCTGCGCACACACAAAAAATTTACCAAATGGCGATGCAGTGTAATAGAGTCCACAGGCTCTTAACAAACGGAAAGAAGGAATGAGGGGGAAACAAGTTGTTTGTCCTGAATTACCGTACTGTGCGTGCGTGACACGGTTGATGGGTACTGACTCACAGAACCATTCCAGGTATGAGTGTCGGGGGGTTGGGCCGCGTCTAGAGTAGAAACTCAGTCTGGGCTTTGCGCAGTGGCAGGACATCCTCTCCTGTCAGCCAAGCCGAACGTCTAGATAGAGTCGCCCACACGGACATCACCTTCGGTACCACCAACCTGCTACATCAAGTAACAAGTCAGGAGTTGTGAGATGTTACTGAGTCTGCTTTGGAAACGGTTGACAGGATTGGCTAGAACTATAAGTGTTTGTACTTTCGGATGAGTTCAAGGCTCTTGTCATCTTATGCCAGCTATCTTGATAGAAGCTACAGGATTCGGTTTCTCTAGAAACTGAGTCACACTTTTGCATTTAGCAAATTTTACCATGCCTAAAAAAAATCTGCTCTAAAGACAAAACATGAAGCAGAAAACATTTGGATTGTACTTGTTTTAAAAAATAAATTTGTTGTAAAATCAAACTTCTCAACTAAGAATGGTATCCATGTCAAAATTTGTTAGCAGGTAGTTGTGGCAAAGATGGCTATGACGAAGCATATTTGAATCTGTGTACTAATGAGCTGCTTTTTCTGTTGAGACTATCATTATTTGTCTTACCCAAGAGGCATTTACCTGAATTGGATGTCGGAAATATAACTTATGCAGGAATAGTTCTGTAAATACATTTAAATAAACTGTAAAGGTATTTAATAAATATAGTATTTATACTATTCTGTGTACTTGTTTTGGTTTCAGTAGTAACTAAGACAGACACTGGCCCTTGACATTGAGTTTATTGGTTTCTGTCAAGTCATTAACCTACCAGTGACTCTGCATTCATAGCCACCATTTTCTGTCCTTGTTTGTGTGTGCGTGCATGATGGGGGTATGTGTGAGTGGAGGTGTATGTGAGGAGTATGTTTTTGTACCAGGGATCAAACTCAGGACCTTGCACTTGCAAAGCCAGGATGGTACCACTGAGCTAAATCCCTGGCCCTGTCCTTTACTATTTTAACTGCCTTAGCTTTCTTACCAGCTGCTTTACATCATCAGTTAGTTTCCTCAAATATTCATCAAAGTGGATTGATCATTAAATGTGAAATGCAGAGATTTTTTTCCCAGCTGAGGCTTTCCACCTTCCAAATAGCACAGAATGAAGCTTATGAAACTCTGGTATATTTGAACTACAATCCAAAGTGCTTACAGTTGAACAGTGTAACTATCTCTTACAGACCAGTGCTGCCCCAGGCGACTGCTGAGGATTATGCCTTCACAGCTAAAACTCCTCCCTGTTTCCATGAACTGATGGAACACTTTGTCCTCGGCAAGGACACCTGAACTTAATCTTGTGCATACATGTTCTCTGCATTTGCTAGGAGTATTAGAAATTCAGTGTTAATCATCAGTGTAAACTTAAAACACATATCTTAGGCTTACGGTGTGAAAGAACGTAGTTGAAATTATGTGGGCATTGCCAGTTTCCACAAATAGTGTGGTAAAAGCCCATTTTCATTCACTTGAACATCTTGAGCTGAACTTGAGTTTTTATTAGGTTATTGTGGGTAGCTGTGACTCACTACTAAGCTTCAACAGCCAAATTCATCCCCTTTTCAGTTCACAGTTCTGGAGCATACTAATTCACACAGCCACCTTTTAAAGTTTCTCATATAATTGCTGGCCAGTTAACACCTCCTATGGTTTGATGGCTTCTCAAAGACTTAGCCATAAAAAAGCTCATTTGTTGCATTATAAACAGGTTTAAGGGACGGAAGAAGCACACCATAAGCTATTACATAACTTGTTTTGTGCCAGGTTTTTTTAGTTTGTACAGGTTAGCTAATTCTCAACAAAGAACAAAGACATTTGTCTTCTGCCTCATCCCACTCCCAACCCAGGGTCTGAGTAGAGGTGCTCAGTGTCAGATAATAAGAAACATTTAATCACTTCTATTAAATTCTGAATGACTGCAAAATAAAAACACCTTGAAACCAGAAAAATTTAGAGGCTAGGAAATAAAATTCTACAATATATAATAAGACCGAACTGAGTGTGGTGGCACAGCCTGTTAATTCTAGGAGGCTGAGGCAGTAGGGTCACAAATTCAAGCTCAGGATGGAAAATTTAGTAACACAGACTCTCAAAAAAAAATAAAACAAAAAGGCTGCAGATGTAGCTTGGTACAAAAGCCACCCTGGGTTTTATTGCCAGTACCAAAAAAAAGAGTCTAAAGTGATCATTTTTAATTTTTACTCTTTTCTAGGGGTTGCTTTATTTAAAATATATATTTTTAAAGGACCAAAAAAGTCATATCACTAATAAGAAAAGGTTGCATAAGCTTGCTGTTTCTGAAAGCACCAAAATCCAAATGTTTGCAGTCAAATACAGAAGATAAGCTGACTACTAATCAAAATTATTTCAAGCCATTCTCTTCAAATGGCTGCCAAAGGTTTGCTTTTGTAATACTGGCAGAGAGTTGAAGACTTCAGGGTGAACATGCACTGAATTGAACTCAAACAGGCTTTTTTCCTACACAGAAAAACTGGCCTCCAAGTAACATAATTTTAAAAAAATATTATATACTTGACAAGCAACTTTCTAGATTGAGTCATGTACAAGATGACGCCGTGTGGAGAAGCAGACGCCCTTCCTGTCAGGGAAGTCTGGGACACTGTCTTACACACTAAGTGTGAAAACATGTGCTTGAGTTGCAGGCAGGTCAGTCGTCTTCACTGTCACTTGCCATGGCCAGACTGGCAAGAGGGCGGTTGAGGTGTTCTTGCTGGTCAGAAGAAACTGCTCCAAAGAACATGGAAGAAAACTAGAGGAGAGAAAATAATTGCACTGTTTACTCCTGTGTGGTTTGCTCAGTAAAGCTCCATGTGACAGCCCTCTTTTCAGAAACGTGGCCACAGTGGTTCCCATCTTTGCTGGTGATGGTTCATGAGACTCCCACAATTTCTGTGATTGGCCCAGCAGATTCAAAACTACACCCTTTGCTGACCTCAGAGGCTGAAGACAGTTTGGGACAGTGACCTGTGACCCCTCCTGGAGCCACGGGAACACCAGGACTTGAGAGGCAGTCGGGTGAGCTGAGCGTCTCCCCAGAGTTCCCTTCCAGGCCTTTCCCCGTGTCAGCACCGAGCCCCTCCTGGGCGCTCCTCGGCCCCACAGGAATGTCACCTTTTTCAAATGCTCACATCTCATCTAGAATACAGACAGGGGCTGGGGATTTAGCTCAGGGGTTCTGGTGCCTGCCTCGCAAGCACAAAGACCCAAGTTTGATCCCTGGTAGCCCCCCCAAAAAAATAGAATACAGAGACAGCCTGGCCTCGCCCAGCTCCTCCAGCTGTTGCCATCCCTGCGCCATGGAGCTGTGTGTGCCATCTCTTCTCGTTCTGCTCCGAAAATGCTGTTACTGTGGTCACCACGTCCTGAACATCAGTTTCCAGTCTTCACCCTGCCTGACTCAGCCTTCCTCCTGTGCCGTCCTCCCACCCCACTCTGACCATCCAACTGCTCTGTGTGCTCATCCTCTCCTACCCGCCTCCTCTCAGGGCACTCGGCCTCAGCACCACTGACTTCTGGGCTGCTGTGGGAGATGCCAGTAGCTGTAACTTCCAGGAGGCTCAGATACCGCCGAGGTCCCCTGGGAGACACCATCACCCCTGGTTGGGAACCATGGCTTTAGCTGATGGCAGTCCTCTCTGACACTGGAATTACTTTAGCCCGTGCATCCTGCTACCTAGTTAATTCCTGCCACCTGACATCCAAAACAGAGATCAATATTACAAGCCTTGAACCTGCTTCTCCAAACCTAAGTCACCCCTGATATCTCCCTTCTTAAGTCCTGGAACCTCTGTCACCAGATCTGGGAGTTTCGCCTCCCAAGTTAGCTGTTTCACTACTACTCTCTCAATCGCTCATCTCAGGAGTCACCATCTCCTGGATGCTGCACCTGGGAGAGACCATTCTTGCCTCACTGCACCCTATTTTTCACATAGCTAGTTACCTTGTAAACACCCGACTGTCAGCCTTTCCTATTAAAATGCTTCCAGTACTCAATACTTAGGGAATTTATATGGCTGTTGACATGGCTTACAGGACTTTAGGTATGATTTGGTTTTACCTCAGTTACTCTGTTTTCACTTTATGCTCTGTCTCCCCCATCTGCTCTCTAGCCACCCTTCAGCTCCTTAAAACCAGCACACCCCAGGGCCCGGGATTTAGTTCAGTGGTTCCGGCACCTGCTTTGCATGTGCTTTACCCGAGTAGATACCTGGTACCAAAAAAAAAAAAAAAAAAAACAGCAACCAGCACACCCCCTCCCACCACAGGCCCTTTGCACATCTACCAGCACCTCCCTGTACACTCTGTTATCCTTTCCAGTTCAACTCAAATCCTAGGTTTAAAGAAAAGACTAACCTGTATCAGGCCATTCTGAACCTTAAATCTTCTCCAGGCACCCAGAACTTTTCTTTGAATTTATCACAGCTTTTTAAAAAACTTAACATATTCCCAGGTATGTGACTTTTATATCTCCACCCTAGTCCCTATGCCCTATTTTCCCTCTAGTCTTTAACCTAATCTGGGAGCCCTACTTAGTTTGCTTCCCATAGCACCCAAGACACGTGGCCCCCAACAAACACCTGGATGGTCCTGTTGCTAGGTCATCCTCACTACCAGAGGTGCAGCTCTAAGCCAGCAGCTGTGGACCTCTGGACAGACAGAAAACCCCAAGTTAGCAGGGACGGCAGCTGTGACTGTGTCTAATCTCACCAGAGGTCCAGTGTAAGGCTGGAGATGTCCAAAGGGTGCTGGAGTCTGCTGAATGCACATCGTCATGTACACTGTGCTGTGAGACTAGAAAGGTAAGGTTTATTCTGGTCCCTGAGCGCTACTGAATTTGCCCCGGCTCAGGCTGAGTGCCATTTGCTATTCCCTTACTCCCATCCTTTCTGTGGCCTGCACCTCTAGTGGCTCGTAATGGATTCCTTGTCTGTGTCTTTACAATCTTCTAGTGGAGAAAACTTGATAGCATCCAGGCAACTGGGAATGGCCTTGAGTCAAATATGAATTGGCAAGAAGACAAATTATCATAAAATACTTTTAAAATAATACACATTTCCCCATTGTTAGTGACTCTTGGGGCTTTGGGAAACTTCTTGTTCAAACCTAATTAAAATTACAGCAAAAGAAGCCACTGGGCCATTGTTATGGTTTGGGTCTGGATGTCCCCCAAAGCCTCATTCAGTCAGAGGCAGCTGAATCTGGAGTGTGGGGATTAAGCGCGTGTGATTACTAAACTACTGCATGTGAGTGGGTTGGCACCGCCCTGAGCCCCGGTAGTCTGAATAAGATCAAAGAGGCGGAGAGACACTTAAACTCCCACTTGCTACCTTTGCTGCCTGTGTGCACCATGTTGTTTCTCCTCTGCGATGCCTGTCTGCCATCCACCCCGCCTTGGAACCGGCAGATCATGGACTGAAACCTCTACAAACTGTAAGCCAAATAAACCCTTTCCCCTTTAACTTTGGGTGTTGGGTATTTTGTCTCAGCAATGAGAGGAAAATAACTAAGCAATTATTTTGAATACATTAATACTCTGTCCTGGTTTAACTTTTGAAAACCCCCTTCCTTAAAGTAGCATGATTTCAATTTGGATTGGATGTGTATTAAATCTTAGGAACCAGGCAGAGTGGCATATGCCTGTAATCTCAGCTACTCAAGAGGCTGAGGGAAGATAATAGCAAGTTAGAGGCCAGCCTGGGCAATTTAGCAAGACTCTGTCTCAAAATAAGAAATAAAAAGGGCTGAATGGAGCCCAGTGGCAGAGCACTTGCCTAGCATGTGTGAGGTCCTGGATTTGGTACTCGAAAAAAATGTTTTTCTTAAGATATCCCAAAATGAGATTTAGCTCAGGACAAGCACAAAGTCCAGAGTTCGATGTCTGATATCAGGAAAAAACAAGATATCCCAAATCAGGGTTGAAGATATGAAAACTACTGACTCTGCACCAGCAGGACAGAAATTAGCAAGACCAAGACCTGCACAGTGAGCTCACAATCTGCCTACAGGAGCAGCGAGTAGACATGAGGTTAGGTTAACGAACATGACGAAGAAAATGCTGGGAGTGAAATGAGAAGGCTTCAGAAAAAGGAAGGTTTGTGCTAGGCCCCGAAGGGTGGATAGAAGTTTAAGAGTGGAGAAGAGTGGAAGACAAGCACCCAGGCCGAAAGAAGAATGGTGAGCGCTGCCTACAAGCATGTTAGCTAACGCAGCCAGACAAAAGAGATCGACTGGAGACATTAAAGAATAAAACCACCTTGGACCGGGAGTTAGCTCAGTGGTACTGTGCCTGCCTCGCAAGCACAATGTCCCGAGTTTGATCCCCAGTACAAAAAAAAAAGAAACAAAACAATTCAGGAGATAATTTAACTCAGTAAGGTATCAGCATAGAAAATTTACATGCAATAAATAAATGAAACCATGCTGGAAAAATAAAAGGGTGGTGGAAGGAATGGGAATAGTAAGAAATGTGTTATGTACATGTACCGATTCCCTACAGTGAATGCAGTCGTTATGTATTACAAACATGCTAATAAAGGTTTAGCTCCATAGACACAAAAGATAGACAGTCAAAATATAATGCTAGTGAAAACTACATCTACAGTAGCAATTGAAGTTAATTTCATGAGAGTATAGTAATAATTAGTAATGATACAATAATAATGACATGGTAGTGTACGAATAGGTGACACTAATGTGCTGCCTGCTGCACTATGAAGGTGCCAACTCCATGAGAACTTTAAAACACTCCTGGAGAACAACAAAAATAGACTTGAACCAAATGAAAGACATCACCTGTTTTGGGATAAATGACTCAACGCAAAGATGTCAGTTTTGCAGGGCATGGTGGTGCACACCTGAAGTCCCAGCACTTGGGAGGCTGAGGCAGGAGGATTGCTTGGAGTTCAAGTCCAGCCTGGCCTCCATAGTGAGTTCAAGGCCAGCCTGAACTACATAGCTAGACCCTGTTTCAAAAAAAAAGGTCAGTTTTCCCTAAATTAACATAAATTTAAGGAAATCTCAATTTAAAAAATACTAAAAGAATGTTTTCATGGAGCTCAATAAGTTGATATTAAAGTTTAAATTAAAAATAAAGAAGAATGGCCAGGAAAAAAACTAACAAAATCCACAAAGTGATGGACACTTATCCTACCAGACACAGAAACATACTCAGAATCTACCGAATGAAGTGTGGCCCTGATACATGCAGACAACAATAGGTTAGTAGAACAAAGAGTCCAGAGCCGGAAGTCCAGAGTAGGGAAGGAATTGAATATTGACAAAGGAGACCCAGCGGATCGGGAGGGCAAAGGTATGTTTTATAGGTGGATCTGAGTTGGCTCCATAGCCATTCTGAAAAAAAAAAAAAAAGAAAGAAATTATATTTATACTTTACACCAGGAACATGGTTCTGCATGTAAACATAAAAGGATGAAATCAGCTGGGCATGGTGCCACACACCTGTTCATTTCAACTACCTGTATTGAGGCACAGGCAGGAGGATCACAAGTCCAAGCCCCATCCAGGCAATTTAGCAAGTCTGTGTCCAAAAAAAAAAAAAAAAAAAAGTTCTTAGGATGTGTCTCAGCGCTAGAGCCCAGTACCCCCAAGACCCTGGGTTCAATCCCAGTACAACAAATAAGTAAATTTAAAAAAAAATTTTTTTTGAGCTGGTATCTCACATTGTAGTTCAGGCTGATCCAAAAGTCACTATGTAGACCAGGCTGGCCTTGAACTCTCAGTGATCCTCCTGCCTCAGCCTCCAAAGTGCTAGGACTATAGGCATGGCCACCATGCCCAGCATAAATTTTAAAACTCATACACATTCTAGAAGAAAATGGGTGAATTCTTTTTGTTTGTTTGTTTGTTTGTTTTTGAGACAGGGTCTCACTATGTAGTTGAGATGGACCTGGAACTCACTAAGTAGCTCAGGCTGGTCTCGAATTCACAGTGATCCTCCTGCCTCAACCTCCCGAGTGCTGAGATAACAGGTGTGCACCACCACACCCAGCAGAATTATTTAACTCTTATACACAGAAAAGCTTTTTAATAACTGATTCAAACTCCTTTGACTTTTTTTGTTTGGGAGAGTTTTTGTTTTTCTTCATTTTGTTTTGGTTTTTTGAGACAAGTTCTCACTATGAAGCTCAGGCTGGGTTTGAGCTCATTGTGTAGTCCAGGCTGTCCTGAAGCTTGTGGTGATCCTCAGCCTCCCAAGTGCTGGAATTACAGGCTTGAGCCACCATGCCTGGCTCAATTTTTTAATTTAAGTTTGACTACATAAAATAAAACAATCTTGCCTGGCAACCTTGAAATACAGCTGACAAAGTAGGAAAAATGTGGAGGGGAAAGGAAGTAAGGGAAAAGAAAAAATGTGAAAAAAGGAAAAAATGGCAACAAAGTCTCTGTAAATAGGGAACGGGGAGGGAGTGAAGGGAGGGCAGGGGTGGGGGGGAAATCAGGAACCAAGATACAGCACATTAATGAATGTAATGGTATTGTTTGCTTTAAATGTACCAATAAACAATGGGGGAAATGTGTGTACCATATATCAAAGATAAATGACAAATCACCATATATATATACACATAAAAAACAGAAAAGTGGGAAGAGATGTGAATAAACAACTCACAAAAATTATAGAATGGGGTTTAAACACATAAAAAAGATCCTCAACCTCACAATTTAGAGAAATGCAAATGAAAACCACACTGAAACACTACTATTTCTCAACTACCAGTTTGGCAAAACCCTTGCTGAAGTTCAACTCTGCAAGTGGTTGGCCAGAGTGCGGGGAACCAGCAACGCCCTCTACTGCTGCGGAGTAGCTGGGGTTACAGCCTGTGCTACAATGCCCAGTGGAAGTACAAAATTATTTAAAATAAAAAGTTAAACAAAAAATTAAAATACAAAAACAGAGTGGCTGCATCATGATGAAGTTCCTGGCATCACACTGGTGATGGCTTCAGCCAGGCTCAGGCGTGGGCTGCAGGGGGCCGCTGAACCTGCTTCTCAGGCTGAGGTTGCGCTTTGCAGCCGTCCGCCATAGTTTACTCATCAAACCACTGGTGTGGCTCCTTGAGAGGAACACATCTGCCATTCCTGGCACTGGGCGTGTTTGGACAAGCAGGTGGAAGTGATTAAATACCCCAGGGAAAGTCTCTGCCAAGGAGTTCCCGCTCAGTCTCAGAGAAGCAGCAGAAGGAGCTAAGAATTCTGAAAGCAGTAGAAGAATGTAGAACAGTAACATTTATGGAGTACTAAATAGGGGTCAGTGATATTAACTGGATTAATTTTCACTACTACTAAGTAGTAATTAATTAAGAAAATTAAGTCTACTACTAAGAGTTACTGATAAGGAAACCAAGGCAAATATCAGTAACTTATCCAGATACACAGCTAGGAAGTAACAAGAGAGAAGATGGAATCCAAGAATGTCAATTCTGGAGCTGGTGCTCTGCAGGCCCTGTTCTCCTCCTTCCCCTGAGGGAGAAGCGGGCTGGAGGATCGGGAAGGATGAAGGCCCACAGTGGCCACGGGGGACAAAGCAAGGGCTTTGCCACGGTGAGGCAAATAATTTCCTTCAAAAATAGAGTCCTTTTTAGAACTGAACGATACAATAGAACATTTGGAGTAAAGAGATCTTAATGATGCTTGTGGAGCTTACAATTCAAAGTACCACTTTCCCTAGTGAGAATACGAGCAAACTTAGTGAATTTCAGGGACCTGAAACAGCAGGGAAGAGAGTTCTTGTTGCTTGTGAAAAAGCAAGCACACTGTGCGTGACCCAAGAGAATGATTTATGTGAACTTAGCACACGAGATGTATTCAGAGATAGTCCTAATTTAACATCATAATTCATCCTTGAGACAAGTGATCCAAATCTCTACAATCTACTGATATTCTGTAAGTCACACTTCTCTCTATCTGAAACTAGCTTTAGCCCTGCCCTATCAAAAATTCAGATGGGGCCGGGGTGCAGCTCAGTAGCAGAGCATGTGCTTAGCATGCACGAGGCCCTGGGAGCAATGCTCAGCACCAACAAGAAAGAAAGAAAGCTAGGGATTTAGCTCAGTGGTTCTGCTGCCTGCCTCACAAGCGCAAGGTCACGAGTTCAATCCCTGGTACCAAAAAGAAAGAAAGAAAAAAGTACTTTTCAGGAGATTGGCACTGGGCTAGGGCAGGAGCCTGCTTGACAGAATTCTAACAGAGATGCAATCTCCTCTCACTATTTTTCTCTCACCTTCTTGCGGGAAAAAGAGTTTGGCCCATCTTCTGTGTCTCCGACACAGCTTCGGGGCATCTCATGGATGTCATCCAGGTTGGCCTTCTTCAGCTGTGGGCTGCCAAGGACTTCTGCTGCTGAGTTCTTCACGGGAGACCGCCGAGGACAAAGCCTTTTGGGTGTTGTTTTTCTTGAGATACACTCTGGGACCGGGTGTGTCCCCCTTTGGCCAGCCTTTGAATTTGACTGTTGCCAATCTGACCTGAGGTATTAACAGGGATAAATGCACAAAGCTGTTTATTTTGAATAATATTTTTTATATATAACTAACAGAACAACATAGGATTACAATGATAAGAGTAATGATTTAGGGAATATAGTGAAATAATACCAAATCAGGCCGGGGGGTTAGCTCAGTGGTTCAGTTGCCTGCCTCAGAAGTGCAAGGACCCAACTTTGATCCCCATAGCAAAACAAAAAACCAAACACTGAATGAATCATTGAAAGTTCAGATTTATGAATATGATCTTCTAAACAGTCCCTTGGCAGGTTCACATCTTTCAATTAAGTAACTCAGTGCGCATGTAATACGGGAACAGGATTAAGTGAGAAAAAAAACTTAATTAATCACTAGATATCTATATGATACTATTTTATAAGGTCATGAGAATTCATGTCTTTAAGGCAAAATCAGTGATACTGGAACAGGCCCACAGTATATTTTATGGGGAAAACCAGGATACAAAGTGACACAGGATCCCACTATTGTTTTTTTTTAAGTTTTTCCTTTTTTGTGACACTGAAGATGGAACCCAGAGTCTTGGGCATGCTGTGCAAGCACTCTACTACTGAGCTACACCTGCAGACCTTTTATTTTATTTTCAGACAGGATCTTACTAAGTTGTCCAATGCCTCAAACTTGCAATCCTCTTGCCTTAGCCTCTACTATAGCTGGAATTATAGGCATGCACCACCATGCCCGGCTCTAATATTGTTTTCAAATATCAGTGTATGCAAAATAAAAAAATCTAGGGCGGGGGATTTAGCTCAGTGGTTCCGCCACGTGCCTTGCAAGCACAAGGTCCCAAGTTTGATCCCTGGTACTACTACTACTACTACTACTACTAATAATAATAATAATAATAAATAATCTAAAAGAAATATAGTAGCTATCTCTGGGTGATACAATTATGGATGGGATTTATATTCTTCTTTGTACTTTTTTGTATTTTCCAAATTCCCTATAGTAACTTCGTGCTACTTTACAATAAAGCGTACTTTCCCCACCCCCAAAAAAAATTAAGAAAAAAGAAAGAAAGAAAAATAATGGCTGACCTATGTCTGAGAAGGAGTTCTAGGTAAGGAACACAGACTTTCCTGTGAAACTTAACACTCTATCACTCTTTAAAAACAACTGAAAAGTGAAAATGCGTTCTGAGTAAAAACAAAGATAAACCAGATTGTTCTGTTAGATTCTGGTTAGAAGAGAAAAAGCAAATATCTGACACACGAGTAGTGAAGTTTTCATGTGACAATTTGGTCTCCACAACTCTTTTAGATTCAGTCAAAATTTCTGATAATAACATTTTGTTACTCAGTTATTTCCTAAGTGAATTGGAATGTTTCACAATAAGGTGGGAGTGGCTTTCCCAACCAATACCAAAGTTAAGACATAGCCTTACCTTTTTCCTGCTGGGGAAAGACACAGTGATTGAGGGAAACGTGCCCTGCTTGGGACATCAGTTAAAGTAGCCAAAATGAAGTTAGCCTCCAGTAGCATATCAACAATACTCAGAGCCAGGGGTCTAAGAAGGCAGAGTCAGAGCAAAAGTGACACTCGTTTTCTGGCAGACATTAGGGTCACACTGGAAAATGATACATAACTCTAGAGTAAAAGGAACAGTACTAGTAGAGGTCTTTTTTTGTGTTGTCTTAAATTAATACATTCCTAAGAGCTAAACGGGCTTTTAGAAATCATCAGATCCAATTAAAAATTTTAGTTCTAGAACACAATAGAGTATCACAGTTCTATAGAGGACTTAACTTGCTTAAGCCATTATAATTTTCTAATTAGAAATTTATAAATGTTTCATTCTGCAGAACAATGTATCTTTCTCAATCAAGTTACCAATTTAAAAATGCCATGTTATAGCATCTTTTCAAAATTTTAGTTTGATAAATGTTGCTAGTAAGGTTAAGGAATTCCTGAAATGTGTGAATTTCACACACACCCAGATTTTCATTATCTAGAACAAAGAGAAACTCAGAACCGTTGCCAAGGACCTACTTCCCAGGAAAATCAAAATGAATGGACATAGGAACATGTGTAGCTTCTGAAAATATCAGCATCCCCTGAAGGAAGAAACGGAGAAAACAACTTAAAAGTCTTTATTAAAAACTACTGGTAAAAATTTGAATTTGATACCACTATGTATTTACCTTCAATTCTTTACAGCAAAATGTTACTTCAGTGTCCAATCCAACCTGAAAGAAGTCAAACTCATCTGGGCCAACAAGTATCTCACTGTACACAGAATTGGTCAGATCTGCTAAATGTTATAGGAAAATAAAAAATAAAATTACTCCCAGAGGTATCTTTAAAAATTAAATGCAAAAATACAATCCTAAGTAGGATGTTAAAATCTCACAAGTTCTCTCAGAGTCTTTCATGGAGAGCCGGGGTCTGGGCCCCCTCCTGTCAAATCTGCGTGGGCTTCTGTGACTGCTCTGGCCGATAGGGTGTGGCAAGGTGACCTCAGCCAGTTCTGGGGCCCACACGTGAAGAAACTGGCAGTCTCCACTTCCTGTCACCTACAATGCTCCCTCTTGTAACTCAGCACCATGCCACAGGAGGTCCAGGGCACATGGAGAGGCCACCTATGGGCAGGCACTGAGGTGACAGCTCAGTGACATCCCCACACCAACTGTGAGCCATGTGTGGCTGCAGTTGCTACCTCTCAGGTGATTCTGCCCCACCACTAACCACAGCTGTGTGAAGGACTCCATGTGAGAACCGCCCGGCTAAGTCCCCTGTGCCCCAGGGAAAAGCCTGAGAGATGATACATTACTGTTCTAAACCACTATATCTTGGGAGTGGCTTATTATAAGCAATTAATAACCAGAATATCAAAAAGTCCAATTTGTTCTACAGGGAACTACTATAAACACAGTTTACATGTAACAAGGATATTACATTCAATTTTGTTTTTAACAAAAACTTCAAAAATTAACTCCCACCCAAAATTAACAAAACAAAGAGTAAGAGATAATAGGATCTATTAAACAAAATTGTAAAACATGGACTAAAAAAGCAAACAAAAAATTTTAAATTGAGATAACTCATTTACCACAACATTCATCATTTTAAATGTACAATGATGTGGTTTTTACTATATTCACAAGGTGTAACCATCATCTGTATCTACTGAATGTTTTTGTCATCTCAGAGAGAAACCCTACACCTGTCAGCAGTTGGCTTTATTTCCTGGCCCTTCCGCTCCCAAGCCGGCATGACAGACTGAGGTATTCTGAAACCATTCACTATGTGGCCTTCCAGTTCTGGGTTCTTTTCCTCAGCACAGGTGCACCCACACTGCAGCCTACACTGGTACTTACTCTTTTTTATGGCTGAGAGAAATATCCCATTGTGTAAATAGAACACATTTTGTTTTTCCATTCGAGAGCTAATGGCATCTGACTTTCCATTCTGTGGCTGCTATGTGGTGGTGCTATGAATACTCATGTGGGCTGTGAGGTATGACACTTATTAAAGGTGGCAGAAGGACAAGACAAAAAAACATCTGATGCTTTGACAAGCATTGGAATAACCGTACTCACCACTATTATTTTGTTTTATGCTTTCTGGCACAGTTGAAAATAATCCTTAAAAATATAATTCACAATTTGTAATATTCTGTTTTTTCAAACAGATAAGCTTCGTACTTAATGCCTTTTGTTTATTTGCTTGTTTGTTTGAGACAGGGTCTTGCTGGCTGGCCTGCAACTTCCAGCAATCTTCCTGCCTCAGCCTCTTAAGTACTGGGATTACACGCGTGCACCACCACACCCAGTATATCTAATGCCTTCTAGTCAATAAGAGATTATTGAAATTGGATTTATTATCAGAGTAGACCGATGTTTGAAACTTTACAAATAACATTCTAAGACAACCAAATATACAGATGCTATGCCCTTTATTACATATTTATTAATTTATTTTATTGGGGGATTTAACCCAGGGCCTTCACACTGAGCTATATACCCCCAGCCCATTTTTTATTTTGAGACAGAGTCTTGCTAAATTGATAACTTTCCCAGGCTGACCTTGAACTTGCCATCCTCAGCCTTCTATAGTGCTGGGATTATAGGTCTGAATCACCATGCTCAGCTACACAATCATTTATGATTTAAAAAGTGAATGATGGGGTTCTGGGGATTTAGCTCAGTGGCACTGTACCTGCCTTGCAAGTGCAAGGTCCTGAGTTTGATCCCCGGTACCATAAAAAAAAAAAGTGACTGATGCATCAAAAGCATAAGCAACAAAAGAAAAATGGATAAGCTAGTCTCCATCAAAAATTTTAAATCTGTGTTTCAAAGAATGCCATGAAGAAAGTAAAAAAAAGCTGGGCATGGTGGTGCATGCCTGTAATCCCAGCACCCAGGAGAGGCAAGAGGATTACAAATTCAGGGCCAACCTGTGCAAGTGGATGAGATCTTTCTAAAGATTTTTAAAGGGGCTGGAGATATAGCTTAGTGGTACAGTGCTTGCCCAGCATGTATGAGGCCCTAAGGTCAATTCTCAGTATGACAAAAAAAAAGGAAAGAGGAAAGGAGGGAGGAGAAAAGAAAAGAGAGGAAGGAAGAAAACAAATGACCCATGGAATTGGAGGAAATATTTGCAAATAATATATATATAAAATAATCAAAAGACAAGTGAAAAAAAGGAAAAGGGATTTGAACAGACATTTCTCCAAAGAAGACATGAAATAACCGATAAGCACATGTAAAGATGCTCGGCATTATTAGTCCTTAGGAAAATGCAAATGAACCCGCAATGAGACACTACTTCACTCCCACTAGGGTGGCTGTAAGCCAAAGGCAGACAATAGCAAGTACTGTGAAGGACAGAGAATCCGAACCCTCAATCACTGCTGGTGGGATGTGAAAGGATACACTCAGAGCTGGGCATGATGCCAAATGCTTATAACCACAGCTTCTCTGGAGGATGAGGCAGGAGAATTAAAAGTTTAAACCAGCCTGAGCAACTTGGTATGATCCTGTCTTTAAAAATGAAAAGGGCTATGGATATAGCTCAGTGGAAGAATGCCTACCTAGTATGTGCAAACTCCTGGCTTTAGTCCCTAGTACTGAAAAACAAAAAACAGTGCACCCATCATTGGAAAATAGGTTGGCAGGTTTTCAAAATGCTAAACACAGTGTTACTGCAGGACTTAGCAATTTCATTCCTAAATATATGCCCAAGATAAATGAAAATATACATCCACAAAAAACTTGTAGTACACGAATGTACAAGCATTAGCAGCTTTACTACTAAGAGCCCAAAAGGGAAAGAGTGAAAATGCCTATCAAATGGTGACTGGATAAATAAAATGTGGCATATCCAGTCAAAGGAATAGTACTCAGCAATAAAAAGAAACAAAGTACATATTGATAAACACTACAACATGGAACAACAATGAAAATCCTGTCCTAAGTGAAAGAAGGCAAATGCAAAAGGCCACATGTTGTATGATTCCATATATATGAAATGTCCCAGAAAAGATAAGCCATGGAGACAGAAAGTGGACTAGCGGCCATCTAGGGCTGGGGTCAGGAGGAAATGGGAAGTGACTGCTAATGGATATGGGGTTTCTTTTTTTGGGGGGGTGCTTAGATAATCTAAAATATTCTAAAGTAGATGATGGTTGCCTAAGTCTAAATACACTAAAAATGAATTGTATACTTTTAATAGATCAATTGAATAGTATGTGAGTTATAGCTCAATAAAGCAGCTTTTAAAAACAGAATGATGAATTTAAAAGAAAAGGAAGTTTTTTGTCTCCCAAACCCATTCCATTTTCTCCTACCTTGCTCTCCCTTCCCCATAATGTATCTGTATACCATTTTAAAGTACCTTTGTTCAAAGGACAAATTCAGTATGATCTCTTCACCTTCCTTTTGAACTCTGTAACAACTTAGAGCCTGCCTTAAGTATGTTTCACATAAATCCAACTGCATATGTTAAATACCAGAGTTCTTACCTAAATTGGTCTGATATGAATACAATTTTTTAAAGTACAATTTTGATTCACATATTTTCTTTTTTATTTATATCTTTAAAACTCAACGATATGGTAAAGTAACTTTAACATAATCTTGTAACACCAGGATTGTGAATGACAATTGTATATACTGGTAGGGGCTATTTTGGAAATCAAACTATTTTCTTTTCTTTTTTTCTTTTTTTTTTTTGGCTTTTGGCTTTTGGCTTTTAGAGACAGGGTCTCACTATGTAGCCCCAGGCTGGTCTCGAACTCGCAGTGATCCTCCTGCCTCTGCCTCCCGAGGGCTGGGATTATAGGCGTGCGCCACCACGCCCGGCCTCAAACTTTATTTTCAAACCCTTCAGCTAAGCAAATTTTTATTTTAAAAGTCCTGTTCTCCAGCTAGTAGTGCAACTCCATGGAGAGTACCTGCTTAGCATGCACAAGGCCCTGAGTTCAATCTACGTACAGCACAATTTTTAAAAAAGGTCCCAGGGCTGGGGATTTAGCTTGGTGGTTCTGCCACCTGCCTCAGAAGCGCAAGGACCTGAGTTCGACGATCCCTGATACAAAAACAAAAACAAAACAAAAGTTCCCATTCTCACAACTGTTCTGATGTGGCCATTAATCAGTCATCAATATTACCCTATACTATGGACAGATTTACATTAACTTTATTTATTCCAATGTATTTATTCTTCTTTGTTGCTATTATAAATAGGCTTCCTATTACTATGTCCTTTAACTGCTATTCATGTACATGAAAACTATTTGATTTGTTTATGTTTGTGTTATATCCTGCTACCTCTGGATTATTTTACTGTTTGAGTTTTGTCATTGGGGTTTCCAGGTGTATTGCTGTATCATTTGCAGATGAGGATGGTGCTACTTTTTCTGGCTTATCTAATTGCATCAATTAATAACTAATATATTACTGAATAGAAATGGAGATAGATAAGGCATTCTTATGTTATGATTTAGATATAAAATGTCCCCAGAAGTCTCATGTGTTTGGAAGGCGCTTAGACTGTGGGGACACTACACTCATCAGCAGACTTGTCCATTGAGGAGTTCATGGCTGAGGGTGCTGTGAGGAGGTGAGGCCTGCTTGGAGGCGGGTCACCGGAAGGGGTGGGTATTCTCATCCCCAGCTTCTCTCTTTGCTCTCTGCTCTCTGGCTGGCATGGGTTGAGCACCCTTTCCTCCATCAGGTTCCTCTGCCACCCGGTTTCTGTCTTGGAGCCAGTCGACCATGGACTGAAACTATGAACCAAAATAAACCTCCCTTCCTTTAAGCTGTGGGGGTTGAGTATTTTGTCCCAGCAGGGACATCATATTTTGTTTTCCACCTTACCAGAAAGGATACTAATGTGCTCCTATTAAGTAAGATGTAGGCTTTAGGTATTTGTAAAATACATAGATTTCACTGTGTCAGGAAAGTGCCCCTCTTCCTATATACTTTGGTGATTTATATCAAGATCAGGTGTTATGTTCTAAGTCTTTTTCTTTTTAAAGCAACTATGGAGATAGCCATGCACATTTTTTCTTAGAACTGTTAATATAGTATTTTATGTTCATACATTTTTCTAATATTGAGCCAGTCTTGCATTTTGGAATAAATACCACGTGGTCATGGCTTTTGGTTTCCTTAATGAGGTGTTGAATTTTATTTCCTAATATATAATTCTACTTTTATAAAGTATATATTTTAAGTGAAAATATGATCACACTGAACATACCATTTATAACATAACCAATAATATATCCTAGGTATTTTTCTATGTCAACAAGTACATTTTTATAATTATGTATGTATGTATTGGTATTTTGAGATTTTTCAGTACAAAACAACTCCAATAAACATCCATGATGTATCCCCATAGAGCAAGGAGAATATATTTACACATATACACACATGACATTTCCTTCACTCAACCAATCTCCTGCGTTTGACCTGAGGTATAAAGAAGATACACCAAACTACTAAAGTACTTATCTCTAGGTAGTGAGATTTCAGGTGAACTTTTCACTTAAGCTTTTAAAAATATTCTTCATTTCCTTCCATGGACATGAATTATACACAGAGTAAGAATAAAAGTTAAGTGATATGTATTTTTCAAATGTCCCAACAATATCTTAAGTATACATTCATTTCAAACAAAACAGCTCACATCACACCCACTGTGCTAGCATAGAGGAAATTCTATTATAAGATAAAACAGTTGGGTCCCCAGGCAACATAACTATAGCTACTCATTAGACATCTACTCACGAGGGACGGTGTTTACCGGTTACTAAATGAACATCTTTGTTCAGAGTTGACACGATGAAACAGAAAACAGACCCTTTCCCTAGCTGAGCATGTATTTTCCAGATCATACACTGCTGTGTGCCAAGAAAGAATGCTGCATGAGACTTGAGGAAAGCAATAAAAACACAGCTTTAGAAGCTTTCACCTGGGAGCCCAGCTATCTGTGTTCAGACCCTAAGCCACCACTTATGGACTGTGTGACACCAGGAAGGTCACACAGTTTCTCTGTGCTTCAGCTTCTTTACAAGACAACGACAGTACCTATACCACAGAGTTATTATAAAGATCAAGTTAATTCATAATGTAAATTATTTAAACTAGATCTTGGCATACAAGAAATATTACAGAAGTCACCTGAGCCAGTGTCAGCCTTGGTTCAACTGGCTTTTCACTTTAAAATCATAGAGTCTAAGGGCTGGGGATTTAGCTCAGCGGTGCTCTGCCTGCCTTGCAAGCACAAGGTCCTGAATTCGATCCCCGGTACAAAAAAAAAAAATTATATAT